TTTTATTTGCATGATTTTGTTTTTGAAGTTTGGCTTTTTAAAGTGCATTAATCTAGGGGCATCTGGGTGGCTCAGTCAGTTAAGCGTCCGACTTCAGCTCAGGTCATGATCTCTCAGTCGATGGGTTCGAGCCCCACGTCAGGCTCTGTGCTGACAGCTCAGAGCCTGGAGCCTGCTTCAGTTTCTGTGTCTCCCTCTCTCTCTGTCCCTTCCCTACTTCTCTGTCTCCCTCTCTCTCAAAAACAAATAAACATTTAAAAAATTTTTAAGTAAATAAATGAAGTGCAGGGGCGCCTGGGTGGCTCAGTCGGTTAAGCGTCCGACTTCGGCTCAGGTCACGATCTCACGGTCCGTGAGTTCGAGCCCCGTGTCGGGCTCTGGGCTGATGGCTCAGAGCCTGGAGCCTGCTTCCAATTCTGTGTCTCCCTCTCTCTCTGCCCCTCCCCCGTTCATGCTCTGTCTCTCTCTCTCTCAAAAATAAATAAACGTTAAAAAAAATTAAAAAATAATAATAAATGAAGTGCAGTACTCTATGGAAAATAGTTCTGCTTCAGCCAGGTTCATGGGTATGCTACCAGAGCATTCTGAGTATTTCAAATTAACTTCTTGGCTTGGGTTCTTTTTTTCAGGTAATCAGGTAGTATGCATTCTTTTCACAAAACCTTGGGTGTAAGGCTTGGTGGTTAGGAATTCTCAAACTTTGTCTCCCCAACCCGCCTCACCATAAGGCTGAGACCAGCACATAGCTTTATTAATTCTTTACCAATTCTCTCTTCTGGGAAGATTTTTTTCCCATCAGCTGAGGATATCACCCCTCCGGAGTCTAGGTTGTGTGTGTGTAATGGGAAAATTTGATTCCACCTTCCACCCTGCTCCGGTCCAGGTTTTGTCCGGTCTATACTCTCGGGGCCTGTAAAGACCCAGCTCTGGGCACCCTGAGACAAAGAATACAGCCCCATAGCAAACCCCAGATTCCTCCCTCCTTTACCCAAGAGGATTTTCTCTTTCTTTTTTAAATTTTTTTTTTCAACGTTTCTTATTTATTTTGGGGACAGAGAGAGACAGAGCATGAACGGGGGAGGGGCAGAGAGAGAGGGAGACACAGAATCGGAAACAGGCTCCAGGCTCCGAGCCATCAGCCCAGAGCCCGACGCGGGGCTCGAACTCACGGACCGCGAGATCGTGACCTGGCTGAAGTCGGACGCTCAACCGACTGCGCCACCCAGGCGCCCCTCTCTTTCTTTTTTTAAATTTCTTTAATGCTTATTTATTTTTGAGAGACAGAGTACGAGCAGAGGAGGGGAGACACAGAATCCAGAGAAGGTTCCAGGCTCTGAGCTGTCAGCACAGAGCCCGACACGGGGCTTGAACTCAAGAACCGCGAGATGATGACCTGAGCCAAAGTCAGATGCTCAACCGACTGAGCCACCTGGGCACCCCCATTTATTTTTAACTTCTTAAAATTTCTCTTTCTTATTCTAGCCATCAGGGATTTCCTGTATTCTCCCACCAGATCAGCCATGCATTAGGTAAAGATTTTTCTTCCATATTTCATCCATCATTTTTAGGTGCATAGACCTGAGAAGAATTGCACTTATTGTACAGCGAGCCATATTGCTGAAAAGAATTTTGAAATTAGTTTTTACTAAGTAGAACTATGTATTTCTCTGATCTATATGCCCCCGCACACAATTTTACAGCATCATGTTAGAGGCACGAGCTCCCGGACCTTAAAAAAGAAAATCTTGGAGCATATGGTTAGGGGATGTTTGCTATGTATCACTGAGGATTAGGCCCACAGGTGAATCTGAGCTGACTGGAAGATGTGTACTTAAGATACAAACCTACTTACTAAATCTTGCAACTGCTGTCATCAACCACAGCTTTATCACCCTGCACTCTTGGCCAGAGTCATCATTAAATCATCCCGGGGCCAAAGGAAGTTCTCAGTACCTGTGGTTATTCTTAGCCAGTAAACTTACTCTGTTTTATCCTAACAAAGTATTGACAAATCACATGACACCCTCTGAGTTATAAAGGAGGCCTCCTTTGTGAATGGGATAGCTAATTCACAGAAAGAAATTTGCTTCACTGCAAGGCCGTCATTAGGATGCACCCCACGTGCCCCACCGGCTTCTTGGGGCCTTATCCCTGGATGCTTATCGTGTTAGTGTCATTCCTTCATTACTCAGCCGAAACATCGCAAGTGCCTACCAGGTGCCAGGCAGATCCTGGTCGTGGGAGGAAGATACCAACGTGATCCTGGCCCTGGACAAATTCGCTTTCTATTGGAAACAACAGAAACGTACATGCGAATTACAGTAAAAACCACTAAATGCTGCAAGTTAGGTACAAACATAGTTATTTACCTCAGAATACATCATTTTTTTTGAGATGTTATTGAAATATAACATTATATTAGTTTCAGGTGCACAGCATAATGATTTGATATATAGACAGAGAAATGATTACCACGAGTTTAGTTACCATCCATCACCATACGTAGACAATTCTTTTTCTTCTCCCAAGAGCTTTTAAGATCCGCTCTCTTAGCAAGTTTCAAATATATAATACAGTATTGTTAACTATAGTCATCATGCTGGACATGACATCCCCAGGATTCATTTATTTGATAACTGAAAGTTTGTCCCTTGTGACCCCCTTGACTTACCTCTCTCCCGAACCCCGCCCCTGGCCACTGGCAGTCCATTCCCTGTAGCCGCGAGTTCAAGTTCAGGTTCCACATACAAGTGACATCACATGGTATTTGTCTTTCTCTTGGACTTATTTCACTGAGCATAATGCCTCCAGGGTGTATCTGTGTGGTCACAAGTGGCGGCACACTATCTAACCACAGCCGCTGCACGAGTTTACATCCCCACCAACGGTGCCCAAGGCTCCCTTTTCTCCACATCCTCGCCAACGCTTGGGATCTCTTATCTGTTTGCAATAGCCATTCTACCAAGTGTGAGGTAAATAGCTCACGGTGGCTTTGATTTGTATTTTCCTGGTGATTCGTGATGTGGAGCACCTTTTTACCGTGCCTTCTTTGGAAAAATGTCTGTTCTGATCCTCTGCCCATTTTTTTTTCCTCAGATTTCTTGGGTTTTTTTTGCTATTGAATTCTAGGAGCCTCATATACAGTTTGGATATTAACCTCTTATCAGATATCTGATTTGCAAATATTTTACCCCATTTCATTCCGCTGAACGTTTCCTTTGCTGTGCAGAAGCCTTTTAGTTTGACAGAGTCCCCCTTGTTTATTTTTGCTTTTGTTGCCTTTACTTTTGGTGTCTTTATTAAGACTGAAACACTTTAACATTTCAAAAGTATTTTGAATGTGACAGTGAATGGCTGGACGTTGGATTCGAACGTGGGACGTAGGGTTCTACTCCCCAGACGTGGCGTCTTAGATCCAAGTGCCTCCCTGCACCGGGGCCATAAGAGGATGACTACCTACTAGCTCTTGCCTTCATGCTCACCACCTAGAAAACCTGCCACCTGCCACTCATGATGGTGCTGGGCAGAGTTTGATGCTCAAAGCACAGTGTCATGGGCGAGGAACTTGTGTGTGAGCACCTCTGGTTTGAGTTCCCATCTTTCAGGTTTTCCAAATTTTTGCATTTGAGAGGCACTGATGCTGCTGCATAAGTGTAAGCATCTGAACTTGGCACCTGACCTTTGTCACTCAGAGGGCTCATCTGTGAGTTTGTTAACTTATTAGACACCGCACCGTTTCCTCTAGGTTATTATGACAAGCAACTGAAATGATGGGAGTCAACGTGTAAAAACGAGTGTTATGAATTTGTTGAGTATTATCATTATCATTATTATTAGAGTAATATCAGAGTGTTAGAGCATGTTTTGGTATTTGATTTCTTACCTACTTTATATTTAAAGTTAGTAAGGAGTTAATTTTCGTAGTTTCTTAATGTAAATTAGCTCTGGGAATATATTAAAATAATTATTACAAGTTAACCAAATGACTTGAATGCTCACAAAAAAATTTGCTTAGATGCTATAGAAGCCAAAATGGAAGGATTCTATTTGGATTAACATGTTGAAATATTTTAGATATAGACCGTGTCTTGTACTGAATATACACGTGTCTTGTACTGAATCCAAAAATGTACCAATCCACGGGGTGCCTGGGTGGCTCCGTCGGTTAAGCGTCCAATTCTTGGTTTCAGCTCTGGTCACGATCTCGTGGTTCGTGAGATCGAGCCCCAAGTTGGGCTCTATGCTAACAACACAGAGCCTGCTTGGGATTCTCTGTCTCCCTCTCTCTCTCCCCCTCCCCTGCTCTCTCTTTCTCTCTCTCTCAAAATAAATAAACACTTTTTAAAACGTACCAATTCTTTTTCTGCACACGTCATCCAATATCGAAGTAAGCGGGAAAGACAGCAGTGTCTGAGTGATTAGACAGGAGCAGAATGAATGTCTGCAGTGGTTGCATGAAACGCCCCCTCCTCCTGTGCTGAGGGTCGGGGATGACTCAGTCCTCTGCGTGAATAGTGTTTGCAAACATTTCTGAGAGCTCGCCGTGCGATAGACCCCGAGGTAATTCATAACATCACTTCACGACACATGTCAGATACTAGTCCCACGCCTTCAAAGAAACACACTCTGTGCTTGAGACCCCCAAAGGCACTAGGCATTTTTTTACTTCCATCTAAGAGATGAGACCTTTCAGAGAGGTGAAGGGGCATCTCAGAGTCACCCACCTGGCTGCGGCTGGGACGGGAGCCCGGGCAGATGTCCCCTGAGCCCAGAGTCCTCACATGGGCTGTTCCCGGCTCTCTCTGCATCCCCAGCCACGTCAACTTTGAGAGAAGTATATCCCATCCATGTCAAACCTTGTCCACCACTTGCCAAGTGACTTTGTGTTTGTGCTGCCTGAAGACACTTCTGTCTCGAAGAAGTTCCCATATCGGTGTTTCAAGGAACCTCAACCCTGACATAAAGATCCGAATTTCAACTCTTTTTGTCTTTATTCGAAGGCCTACAGAGTTGACGAGAAGGCCGCGGAACAAGCTCGGTGGGAAGAGGCCTCTAAAGAAACAATCAAGAAAACCACCAAGCCCTGTCCCCGTTGCCATGTGCCAGTTGAAAAAAATGGTGAGTCTGGGCTACGGAAAAAGTGAGGATTTGGTGAGCTTCTTGGAGAACATGAGCTGCGTGGTTATAACAGCCAGGAATTCTAGGAGGATGTGTAACTGAATAATAGTTCAGCACTCAGGGAATTTGGAACCGTTGGCCAGAGTGCAAATCTCTCCACTGTCCCACATCAAGTCTCTTAACTGCCTAAGCCCACGGTCCTCCTCTGTCAAATAGAGATGAAAATAGAAGCTGTCCCCCAATAGTAGAAGCATGAGACGTCATGCAGGGCAGATACTCGGCCAAGTACCTGGCATAGAGAAAGCACTCCATAAACCCTAATTACCCTTATTATTATTTATTATTAATAATATTAGGCACTTTGTATCTGGTAAGTTGTCTACTATATATATATATATATATATATATATATATATATAACCTTGGACTGTGAGTAACTTGTTCTGCTAGTGTTCCACAAGATGAGCAAATATTTCTAATAAAGTTTAGCTTGATAGGTGAGCGATATCTTTTGCAATACGAGTCGTACGTGATGCCGAATGTCACATGATCACAACTGAGCCAATGGTTCTTAAAATTCACTTTGATACACAAGTGCTTTGAATTAAAAGTATGTTTCGGAATGAATTATGCTTGCAAACCAAGGTTTTACTATATATATATATTTTTAAAATATATATATATATTTTTTAAATATATATATATATTTCCTAGTCCAGTATTTCTCACTGTATCCCCCATAGTATTCTGGTGTCTAGAGACACTCAGTGGGGAAAGGGGGAATGTCACCATGCCAAATACATTTGCCAGGTCATTCCTACTAGAGCCCCCTCTTGGATAATACCAACAACACAATTAACTTGTATTGAGCATTTGTTCTATGCTTGTTCTAGGTTCCTTACAATTATCACATCATTTAGCCCTCACAGGACTCGCATAAGGAAGCTATTCTTATTATCCCCGCTCACAATATACATTGGCAATCCAGACTTCCTTCTGTAAAAGAAATCTGTTTAATTTTGTTTAATGGACAGGTTCCCACTTCTTTTGGCCATGATATTCTTTTTTTCCTCCTCACACCCATTTGTGTACCTTTCAATGGCAGCACACACTCTGGGCTCTGATGTCCCCATCCCTGCTGTGGGACATTTAGTCCTCGACGTTACTACGACACTTGCCCCCTTTATTAGAGTATCCTTCGCGTGAATCTGTTTCTCAATAGAGGTATTCCTTTGGCCTTCTACCAACTACTCTCTAAATTTTGAGAACATGAACTGAAACTTTGGGGATGCCGCTGGATTAGCTGACATTAACCGCAGGCGGTCTTTTAGGAGCCCACAGTTGTGCCCTGGTTTGCGTGAGTCAACAGGCTTAGAATCACAGGGGCCACACTCGAACGGTTCTCTCCCTGACGATGCTCCAAACCCAAGGCATCAACTCCCAAGAGGGGCTGCTCTTCCTTCCTTACACACCCAGTCACACCCGTGCCTCCTCATAAATGCTGGAGGCCACCGTGCCTACGGGGACACTGGGGAGAGCTGGCAGACGGAAGGACCGCCCTTCCTGATCCCGTCCTAATGGACAAGTGACCCCTGTCATACGCTGTAGGACACGGAGGGAGGCCCGCTCAGCTCTGCGATGCTGTGTCTACACTTGCAGCTGCGGTGTTATTCTCTTCCTGAGTGTGCCCTGCTCCCACGATCGCGTGGCGGTCCTGTTGCCTGCCGGCCATCGTTGCACAACCCGCCCCTGCTCTGCGGCATTCAGTCTATATTCGGAGTTGTACTATGGGCCGCCCCGTTCGCGGTCAGTCTGATACCCCGCAGCAGCCAGTGGGGTACCTGCCGCCGTCAGTCCTGGATGTGCCGGCCAGCTTAAAGCCATCACGGCCCCCGGAGCCCGTCCTAAGTGTCAGACACCTCTGCGTGGGTGAGGTAGGGGCGGCAGCCCTGCCCGATGAGAAGTAAAACGAAGCACCAGGTACACTTTTCCCACGCTCTCCCCACTAAGCATGAGCGGCACCTGCCCGGCAGGCCTCTAACGACTGGCTCGCCGTGGCGTGAAGCCCGGCAGTCTGGAGGTGCGCCCCCGGCCCCCCTTTCCTCAGTCATGCCCTTTAGGAGGTCTTTATTCTTGCAAAGGGGAGAGTGCGAGCACATCCCAGAGCGGCAGGAACGGGGCTCAGTTCAGGCCAGGTCCCCTACGGAGTCAGTGGTCTCCTGGCAACAAATAGATCCGCGTGCGCCGTGAGCCGCTGTTCTCCTCCGTGCGCTGGGTTGTGCCCTGGGTTGACACTCCAGTGCGCACAGAGGACGTCAGCGGAACCAGGGGCAAGACCTCTTCCGGTCCTCACCGCTGGAGCGGTGATGCAGTGTAGACAACCTGAGGTCAGAGGAGACGCAGAGACCCTTCACCAACGCTCACTTCACGATGCAAGTTCAGTAGCGAGACACCGTTCTGTTATCACCAAAGGTCAGGAGACTTGTCTGTCTGTCCCCCAGGCCCAGAAGAGTCCTGACAGATATCTGTTGAATTAACAAGTAGCTAGTAAATACATGAACAGATATTTTATATAAAATATGAGAGAGAGAGCAAGCTAGCAGAGCGCAAAAGCCTGAGGGCTAAGAGTTGTCTTCCCGGAGGGGCGCCTGGGGGCTCAGTGGGTTAAGCATCCGGCTTCCGCTCAGGTCGTGATCTCACGGTTTCTGAGTTCAAGCCCCGCGTGGGGCTCACTGCCATCAGCACGAAGCCTGCTTTGGATCCTCTGTCCCCCTCTGTCTCTGCCTCTCTCTCTCTCTCTTTCAAAAACAAAGTAAAAATTATTTATTTATTTTATTTTTATTTTTTTAACATTTATTTATTTTTGAGACAGAGAGAGAGCATGAACAGGGGAGGGTCAGAGAGAGGGAGACACAGAATCTGAAACAGGCCCCAGGCTCTGAGCTGTCAGCACAGAGCCCGATGCAGGGCTCAAACCCACGGACCGCAAGATCATGACCTGAGCCCAAGTCGGATGCTTAACCGACTGAGCCACCCAGGCGCCCCTAAAAATTATTTTAAAAAAGGTTTCCCAATCCACCATTTTTTTGAAATAGCGTGACTTAGTATAAATGGAAAGCACTGATTTTTCACCTATAGATTTTTAACCTATGAACAGAAAAGTTGAGACTTTAAACTTATTAATGATAGTCTCCACTGATTTCAAGCATGCAGCAGAGATACATGTGAGCTCTATGGGCCAGAAAAGCTCGTTTCATGATCTCGTCCTCAAAGTAAATTCATGATCTATTTCATGGTCATCTGAATCCCAGAAAGTAGTTCTTCGTGCAGCAAAGACGTAATGAAAATGAGGCTCATTTCCATCTTAAACATAGGCTAAGCCTGCACTTCCTCCCGCAGCCTTCCACCTCGGAAAGTGGCTTCCTTCATTTCTGCCTCAAACAGATGAGATTCCAGTCCCATTCTCTGATCAAAAAGTGCCAGGATGTTCAAGAACTTCTCCTCTGTCATTAAACCTAATGAAAGAGTGGCTGGCCCTAGCCATGGGGCTGACGGGGCATAGGCTGGGCTTTTCATGGTTTGAGCATCAGTCGGTGGATAGAATTCTCTATGAGGGAAGCCATGTTTTCTTCATTCAAATGCCCTCAAAGTCACGTGAAGTTGTCAGCTTCTTGCTCACATTTACTTTTAAGTTGGCAAAGCTTTGGGGCACCTGGGTGGCTCAGTTGGTTAGGCATCCAACTCCTGGTTTCAGCTCAGGTCATGATCTCACCATTTGTCAGATGGAGCCCCAAGTCAGGCTCTAGGCTGATAGCTCAGAACCTGTTTCAGATTCTCCCTCTCCCTCTCTCTCTACCCCTGCCCCACTCTGGTATGCTTGTGCTCTCTGTCTCTCAAAAGAAATAAATACACTTTCAAAGAGAAGCTATGACCCAGCAATCGCACTGCTAGGAATCTACCGAAGGGACACAGGAGTGCTGATGCATAGGGGCACCTGTACCCCAGTGTTTATAGCAGCACTTTCAACAGTAGCCAAATTATGGAAAGAGCCTAACTGTCCATCAACTGATAAACGGATAAAGGTGTGGTTTATATATACAATGGAATATTACCTGGCAATGAGAAAGAATGAAATCCTGCCATTTGTAGCAACATGGATGGAACTGGAGGGTATTATGCTAAGTGAAATAAGTCAGTCAGAGAAAGACAGATACCATATGTTTTCATTCATATGTGGATCTTGAGAAACTTAACAGAAGACCGTGGGGGAGGGGAAGGGGAAAAAAATAGTTACAAACAGAGAGGGAGGGAGGCAAACCATGAGACTCTTAAATACAGAGAACTAAGGGAAGATGGGGTTGGGGGAGAGGGGAAAGTGGGTGATGGGCAGGGAGGAGGGCACTTGTTGGGATGAGCACTGGGTGTTGTATGGAAACCAATTTGACAATAAATATATTTTAAAAAATAAAAAAAATAGACATTACAAAATGATTTTTAAAAATAATAAAAATAGGGGCGCCTGGGTGGCGCAGTCGGTTAAGCGTCCGACTTCAGCCAGGTCACGATCTCGCGGTCCGTGAGTTCGAGCCCCGCGTCAGGCTCTGGGCTGATGGCTCAGAGCCTGGAGCCTGTTTCCGATTCTGTGTCTCCCTCTCTCTCTGCCCCTCCCCCGTTCATGCTCTGTCTCTCTCTGTCCCAAAAATAAATAAACGTTGAAAAAAAAAATTTAAAAATAATAAAAATAAATACAAAAAAAAGAAGTTGGCAGAGTTTTTAGAATTAGAGTCCCTGATTCTTCTCCATATTATGAGATCTAGCATACTGCCTTGCATATATTAAGCACCAAGGTGGAAAAGAAAGTTAATAACATGAATATTCTTTCTTCCTATTTCCTTTCTTCTTATTCTACAGAGCCATTATGTTTCTAGTTTCTGTAACGAAATCTCATTTGTAATGTTAGTATTCCATACCCGTGAAAATTTGGTATAGTAGGAAAACATTATATTATTTATATCATAAATGTACAGTCATTAAATATGTGTGGAAAATTACACAGTCCTGCCAATGTGTAATCCTAAATGAGAAATATTAAGATGAAAGTATCATAGGTGAGTTTTTCCCCTGATTTTCTGCATATTTATAATTTTTTTTAAATTTTTTTTCAATATATGAAATTTATTGTCAAACTGGTTTCCATACAATACCCAGTGCTCATCCCAAAAGGTGCCCTCCTCAACACCCATCCCCCACCCTCCCCTCCCTCCCACCCCTAAATGATCTTTAAAACAAACCAAAAGGAAGTTGGAAAAGTATGGGATTTTAAATGCCCTTAAATTATCCTAAAACAAATTCCTTCAGTTACATATTCATAAATATTTTAAATCGGTGGAAGTTCTTATGCCAAGGTTTCTAATAATAAAAATGAGACAGTACTGAAGCAATTACCTAGAAAATTTGGCAAGAAAAAAAATGACTTAACAAGATAATTGGTAAAATTGAATAATAGAGCACATCCAATGTTATATCGAGTTCAAGCAAAGAACTGCTTTTGCCTGAATTATCTAGGAAATTCGATCAGAAGCCATTCTCTACATGTAACTTCACACGAGTAACTCCCTCTGCACTCCACCGCAGACTTGATGTCTGAGCCCCAGAAGCAAATAAGAAATGAATTTAACAAGTGTGGGAAGGGGCGGAATCCCAAAGTGAATCCCCGAATAAGGGACCTTTCATCTCATGCGGCGAAGGCCCTGTTCCGTGAAAGAACAACAGATCCTGGTTAAATCTCAGACTTTGCCGTTTAAAAGTCCTTGGCCTTAAGAAAATTCTAGAACAGGGTAACACTGCTCTCTCACAAAGTGCTTTTGAGGAGTGAATGAGGTAGTACATGCAGCGCCCCCACTTCTCCCCGTCTGCTCACCCTAAATAAAAGTTTGAATCGCATTAAGGGCTGCAATCCCTATGAGATACTTTCAATACTGCTGTCCCAACTCCTGTTTCAAGCCAAGTTATATTATATATTCCATATTAAGTTGCTAAGTATATTAACATCTATTTAAAACATCAACCTTGATATATATTTCAGTAAGGAATTGACCCCGTTTGTGAAACACAAGGCATTTGTCTCTAAGTCCCATTTCGGGAGAAGTAAATAAAGTCAGATTTATAAATAAAATTAGTCCTAGATGAGGATGGCATGTTTCACCCTCACTCCTTTTTTTTTTTTTT